TCGTATCATGCCCCCACGCTCCTATGGGTGCTCATGCTCCCTGCTGCCCCTACCTTGTGTCGTATCATGCCCCCACGCTCCTATGGGTGCTCATGCTCCCTGCTGCCCCTACCTTGTGTCGTATCATGCCCCCACGCTCCTATGGGTGCTCATGCTCCCTGCTGCCCCTACCTTGTGTCGTATCATGCCCCCACGCTCCTATGGGTGCTCATGCTCCCTGCTGCCCCTACCTTGTGTCGTATCATGCCCCCACGCTCCTATGGGTGCTCATGCTCCCTGCTGCCCCTACCTTGTGTCGTATCATGCCCCCACGCTCCTATGGGCGCTCATGCTCCCTGCTGCCCCTACCTTGTGTCGTATCATGCCCCCACGCTCCTATGGGTGCTCATGCTCCCTGCTGCCCCTACCTTGTGTCGTATCATGCCCCCACGCTCCTATGGGTGCTCATGCTCCCTGCTGCCCCTACCTTGTGTCGTATCATGCCCCCACGCTCCTATGGGTGCTCATGCTCCCTGCTGCCCCTACCTTGTGTCGTATCATGCCCCCACGCTCCTATGGGTGCTCATGCTCCCTGCTGCCCCTACCTTGTGTCGTATCATGCCCCCACGCTCCTATGGGTGCTCATGCTCCCTGCTGCCCCTACCTTGTGTCGTATCATGCCCCCACGCTCCTATGGGTGCTCATGCTCCCTGCTGCCCCTCCCCTACCTTGTGTCGTATCATGCCCCCTATGGGTGCTCATGCTCCCTGCTGCCCCTACCTTGTGTCGTATCATGCCCCACGCTCCTATGGGTGCTCATGCTCCCTGCTGCCCCTACCTTGTGTCGTATCATGCCCCCACGCTCCTATGGGTGCTCATGCTCCCTGCTGCCCCTACCTTGTGTCGTATCATGCCCCCACGCTCCTATGGGTGCTCATGCTCCCTGCTGCCCCTACCTTGTGTCGTATCATGCCCCCACGCTCCTATGGGTGCTCATGCTCCCTGCTGCCCCTACCTTGTGTCGTATCATGCCCCCACGCTCCTATGGGTGCTCATGCTCCCTGCTGCCCCTACCTTGTGTCGTATCATGCCCCCACGCTCCTATGGGTGCTCATGCTCCCTGCTGCCCCTACCTTGTCGTATCATGCCCCCACGCTCCTATGGGTGCTCATGCTCCCTGCTGCCCCTACCTTGTGTCGTATCATGCCTCCACGCTCCTATGGGTGCTCATGCTCCCTGCTGCCCCTACCTTGTGTCGTATCATGCCCCCACGCTCCTATGGGTGCTCATGCTCCCTGCTGCCCCTACCTTGTGTCGTATCATGCCCCCACGCTCCTATGGGCGCTCATGCTCCCTGCTGCCCCTACCTTGTGTCGTATCATGCCCCCACGCTCCTATGGGTGCTCATGCTCCCTGCTGCCCCTACCTTGTGTCGTATCATGCCCCCACGCTCCTATGGGTGCTCATGCTCCCTGCTGCCCCTACCTTGTGTCGTATCATGCCCCCACGCTCCTATGGGTGCTCATGCTCCCTGCTGCCCCTACCTTGTGTCGTATCATGCCCCCACGCTCCTATGGGTGCTCATGCTCCCTGCTGCCCCTACCTTGTGTCGTATCATGCCCCCACGCTCCTATGGGTGCTCATGCTCCCTGCTGCCCCTACCTTGTGTCGTATCATGCCCCCACGCTCCTATGGGTGCTCATGCTCCCTGCTGCCCCTACCTTGTGTCGTATCATGCCCCCACGCTCCTATGGGTGCTCATGCTCCCTGCTGCCCCTACCTTGTGTCGTATCATGCCCCCACGCTCCTATGGGTGCTCATGCTCCCTGCTGCCCCTACCTTGTGTCGTATCATGCCCCCACGCTCCTATGGGTGCTCATGCTCCCTGCTGCCCCTACCTTGTGTCGTATCATGCCCCCACGCTCCTATGGGTGCTCATGCTCCCTGCTGCCCCTACCTTGTGTCGTATCATGCCCCCACGCTCCTATGGGTGCTCATGCTCCCTGCTGCCCCTACCTTGTGTCGTATCATGCCCCCACGCTCCTATGGGTGCTCATGCTCCCTGCTGCCCCTACCTTGTGTCGTATCATGCCCCCACGCTCCTATGGGTGCTCATGCTCCCTGCTGCCCCTACCTTGTGTCGTATCATGCCCCCACGCTCCTATGGGTGCTCATGCTCCCTGCTGCCCCTACCTTGTGTCGTATCATGCCCCCACGCTCCTATGGGTGCTCATGCTCCCTGCTGCCCCTACCTTGTGTCGTATCATGCCCCCACGCTCCTATGGGCGCTCATGCTCCCTGCTGCCCCTACCTTGTGTCGTATCATGCCCCCATGCTCCTATGGGTGCTCATGCTCCCTGCTGCCCCTACCTTGTGTCGTATCATGCCCCCACGCTCCTATGGGTGCTCATGCTCCCTGCTGCCCCTACCTTGTGTCGTATCATGCCCCCACGCTCCTATGGGTGCTCATGCTCCCTGCTGCCCCTACCTTGTGTCGTATCATGCCCCCACGCTCCTATGGGTGCTCATGCTCCCTGCTGCCCCTACCTTGTGTCGTATCATGCCCCCACGCTCCTATGGGTGCTCATGCTCCCTGCTGCCCCTACCTTGTGTCGTATCATGCCCCCACGCTCCTATGGGTGCTCATGCTCCCTGCTGCCCCTACCTTGTGTCGTATCATGCCCCCACGCTCCTATGGGTGCTCATGCTCCCTGCTGCCCCTACCTTGTGTCGTATCATGCCCCCACGCTCCTATGGGTGCTCATGCTCCCTGCTGCCCCTACCTTGTGTCGTATCATGCCCCCACGCTCCTATGGGTGCTCATGCTCCCTGCTGCCCCTACCTTGTGTCGTATCATGCCCCCACGCTCCTATGGGTGCTCATGCTCCCTGCTGCCCCTACCTTGTGTCGTATCATGCCCCCACGCTCCTATGGGTGCTCATGCTCCCTGCTGCCCCTACCTTGTGTCGTATCATGCCCCCACGCTCCTATGGGTGCTCATGCTCCCTGCTGCCCCTACCTTGTGTCGTATCATGCCCCCACGCTCCTATGGGTGCTCATGCTCCCTGCTGCCCCTACCTTGTGTCGTATCATGCCCCCACGCTCCTATGGGTGCTCATGCTCCCTGCTGCCCCTACCTTGTGTCGTATCATGCCCCCACGCTCCTATGGGTGCTCATGCTCCCTGCTGCCCCTACCTTGTGTCGTATCATGCCCCCACGCTCCTATGGGCGCTCATGCTCCCTGCTGCCCCTACCTTGTGTCGTATCATGCCCCCATGCTCCTATGGGTGCTCATGCTCCCTGCTGCCCCTACCTTGTGTCGTATCATGCCCCCACGCTCCTATGGGTGCTCATGCTCCCTGCTGCCCCTACCTTGTGTCGTATCATGCCCCCACGCTCCTATGGGTGCTCATGCTCCCTGCTGCCCCTACCTTGTGTCGTATCATGCCCCCACGCTCCTATGGGTGCTCATGCTCCCTGCTGCCCCTACCTTGTGTCGTATCATGCCCCCACGCTCCTATGGGTGCTCATGCTCCCTGCTGCCCCTACCTTGTGTCGTATCATGCCCCCACGCTCCTATGGGTGCTCATGCTCCCTGCTGCCCCTACCTTGTGTCGTATCATGCCCCCACGCTCCTATGGGTGCTCATGCTCCCTGCTGCCCCTACCTTGTGTCGTATCATGCCCCCACGCTCCTATGGGTGCTCATGCTCCCTGCTGCCCCTACCTTGTGTCGTATCATGCCCCCACGCTCCTATGGGTGCTCATGCTCCCTGCTGCCCCTACCTTGTGTCGTATCATGCCCCCACGCTCCTATGGGTGCTCATGCTCCCTGCTGCCCCTACCTTGTGTCGTATCATGCCCCCACGCTCCTATGGGTGCTCATGCTCCCTGCTGCCCCTACCTTGTGTCGTATCATGCCCCCACGCTCCTATGGGCGCTCATGCTCCCTGCTGCCCCTACCTTGTGTCGTATCATGCCCCCACGCTCCTATGGGTGCTCATGCTCCCTGCTGCCCCTACCTTGTGTCGTATCATGCCCCCACGCTCCTATGGGTGCTCATGCTCCCTGCTGCCCCTACCTTGTGTCGTATCATGCCCCCACGCTCCTATGGGTGCTCATGCTCCCTGCTGCCCCTACCTTGTGTCGTATCATGCCCCCACGCTCCTATGGGTGCTCATGCTCCCTGCTGCCCCTACCTTGTGTCGTATCATGCCCCCACGCTCCTATGGGTGCTCATGCTCCCTGCTGCCCCTACCTTGTGTCGTATCATGCCCCCACGCTCCTATGGGTGCTCATGCTCCCTGCTGCCCCTACCTTGTGTCGTATCATGCCCCCACGCTCCTATGGGTGCTCATGCTCCCTGCTGCCCCTACCTTGTGTCGTATCATGCCCCCACGCTCCTATGGGTGCTCATGCTCCCTGCTGCCCCTACCTTGTGTCGTATCATGCCCCCACGCTCCTATGGGTGCTCATGCTCCCTGCTGCCCCTACCTTGTGTCGTATCATGCCCCCACGCTCCTATGGGTGCTCATGCTCCCTGCTGCCCCTACCTTGTGTCGTATCATGCCCCCACGCTCCTATGGGTGCTCATGCTCCCTGCTGCCCCTACCTTGTGTCGTATCATGCCCCCACGCTCCTATGGGTGCTCATGCTCCCTGCTGCCCCTACCTTGTGTCGTATCATGCCCCCACGCTCCTATGGGTGCTCATGCTCCCTGCTGCCCCTACCTTGTGTCGTATCATGCCCTCACGCTCCTATGGGTGCTCATGCTCCCTGCTGCCCCTACCTTGTGTCGTATCATGCCCCCACGCTCCGTGCTCAATCTCAGCCTTTCTCTCACATCACATGATGGGGGTGCCGTCAACGACATGCTTCCTCCTCCCCCTGGTTGTGGCAACCATGTGTTGGCATGCTGTCACATCACATCATGGCTATGTGGGACGGCATCATGGGTGTGCCACGGGTGCATGGCATGTGTGTCCTGGGTGCATGGAATGTGCTGCCATGGCATGGGACAGGTACCAGGCGAGGGTGGCAGCATGGGTCACTTTCCCCTGGATCAAGTCAAGCACTTCCCGCTTGTCGTCCTCCCCGCTACCCCTCAGGTATGAGCCGTGAGTGACAGGCCCCTCAGACCCTCCGCTCCCTCTCTTCTGCACTCTTCACTCCCTCGTTCCTTTCTTTCTCCCTGCACATCCTCCTACCCGCAGAGCCATCGATTGGCTCATCCTCTGCCCCTGTCCGGCTGTCCCCCCTTTCCCCGCCTTGCCTCCCGTTCCCCTCCGCACCTTGTCTTGCCCCTCTGCACTCTCAGAGGGAGCAGCGGCGCCTGAGAGTATCCGTGTCAGCACAAGGACCAATCAGGGTACGGACACCAGTACTGGTTCGTCTGCTTTGTTAAATCAAGTGTTTTGCCGACGGACTAGCTGCATTTGTGTGTGCTGTGCATCTTTGAATGCCATCAGTGCCCCTCACCGCTCCCTCACCTGTATGCATCCCCTCCTACCACTCAGTCGCCCCGCTTACCTTCCCCTCTTAGTTCTCTGTTCCCCCACCCCCACACTACCGCAGGTGCTCTCTGTGTGTGACATCGACCTCTTCCCTCCTCCCTCCTCCCTCCCCCCACTCCGTCTCAAGCACTTACCCATGCCACGACACGCTGAGCTGGCATTCGGTCAGCAGCACCACCAGCCATGGAATCTCTCCTCCAAATCCCCCACTGTCCCCCAGTCTTCCTCCTCCTCTCTACTCGAACTACTCCTGAGTGTGCACATCCCCCTTATAGCACTCTCCGTTATAGACGCTCGCCCTCAGGAGCTACTGCTGCTCTCCCTACACCGCCTCTCCGTCTCCCTCTCCCGCTCCGCCCACCAACACTCCCTCTCCTTCCTCCTCTCCCACCTCCAACTCGACAACCAACTCCCCAACGCCCTCTTCCCTATCCTCCTCGCCTCCTCCTCCCCTCCTCTCTCCCTCACTCGCTCCACACCACCACCCTTCTCGTCACCATCACCCTCCCCGTTCTCCATGCTCCACCCATCCCACACCTCACCAAGCCTCGCGCTGCTACAAGCTGCTCTCCATACGCCCTCCCTGCTGCTCTCCTCTGTCCTCCACCACACGGCCCAACAGCAACATCAACCTCCTTCCCACACTGCCCTGCTGCAAGCGCCTTTCCAAGCCAGCCTGCAAGGGGGCCAAGCAGCGGTGGCAGCAGACGTGGTGGCGTGGCGGCAGAGAGTGGGCTCCGTGCTCTGTGCGGAGAGCGTGAGGGTCGGGTGAGTGCAGTGGGTGCTGGCTGTGGGGGAGTGCTGGCTGTTGTGTTGGGTAGGGGAATGCTGACAGTGTTGTCGGGGGAGTGCTGGCAGTGCAGTGAGTGCTGCCATTGCAAAACCATACCGTGGCTTCTCGTCTCCCGTCTGCATCGCCCCCATCTTCCTTCCCTCTTTCCCTTTCATCATCGAACCCTTTCCCTCCTTCCTCATCTGTCTCTGCCCGTCTGTCCCCACCCCTCCCACCGCCCAGCCTGGCACCTCTCTCTGTCTAGACGCCTCAAAACTCAACCAACTGCTCTAATCCGCATCCTTCATGTGTGTCTTCCCTCTTGCCCCCACTACTCCCACCCACCAGCCTCGCCCCGCTCTCTCTGGAGCTCGAGGAGCATCTGCTGCTGCGCCTGCTCGACTTCTCCCGCACCTGCATCGCCGCCCTCTCCGCCCTCGGCCCCCCCTCGCCCTCCTCCTCGCCTCATTCCTCCTCTCTTGCATCCAGCAGCAAGGGTGTGGGAAGAGGATGGGCAGGGAATGCTGGCAGGGAAAGGGAGCAGGAACGGGAGGGGGCGAGGGGGTCACCTGGAGCACAGGCAGGGAGGGGTGGTGGGGATGGGGAGCAGAGGGAGGAGGGACGGCAGCAGGGGCAGGAGCAGATGCAGCGAGTGTACGTGTGGTGCAGTGGCGCATCAGTGGCAGCGGTGGGGGTGGTGGGCGGGCCGGGCATGGACACATCCCCTCACATAAAAGGCACAGCCAACATGTACATAGAGACCATGGTCATCCTCCCCATCCACATCACCATCAGCTTCGCCAGTGCACCATGGGCGGCGGATCAGAGCAGGGGGGCGGCAGCACAGGGGTTGCTGGGGGCGCTGGGAGCGGTGGTGCAGAGGAGTGTGCTGTCTCTGGCGGACGTGCAGGGGGCGCCGCTGGGGCTGTCTGCGTGGCAGTTGGAGCACTTCTTTGGCGGGCCGGCGTCGCTGGGAGCGAGGCTTGAGCGGCACTACACGCTGCAGCTGCTGCAGGCGCTGTACAAGGTAAGACCAGTGAGAGATCCTATACAAGGCAGTAACACTGCTGAGTAGGGTATGCAAGGTGGCACCACTGCCACGGCTGAATGCTGCGGCTTGCAAGGTTTGCAGCCATTCCAAAGGAAAACAGGTTTCAAGTTGGGTGCCCCCTCCTTGCAAGTTGGCATAGGGACTTGCCAACCACCCAACTCCCCCTCTTTTCTCTTCCAAGCTCTTCTTGCATCCAATCTCCCCACTCCATGTATACCCTCTTGTGACCTAATCAATTCAATGGTTCACTTTACAACTTTCACATGGTATAGAGCTAATTTTTCCTAGGCCTTACCTCTCCCCCCCCTCCAGCTTTTTTTTTTCCTTCCATGGGCCCACCCTTCCCCACTTCGTCACCGTGGCCTAGACCACCGCCGCCACCCCCAATTACGCCCGTCAGATCTGCTCCCGCGGGCATTTCGCCCGTCAGTTCTGCTCCCGCGGGCATTTCGCCCGTCAGATCTGCTCCCGCGGGCATTTCGCCCGTCAGATCTGCTCCCGCGGGCATTTTGCCCGTTAGTTTTGCTCCCGTGGGCATTTCGCCCGTAAGATCTGCTCCCGCGGGCATTTCGCCCGTCAGTTATGCTCCCGCGGGCATTTCGCCCGTCAGTTCTGCTCCCGCGGGCATTTCGCCCGTCAGTTCTGCTCTAGCGGGCATTTCGCCCGTCAGATCTTCTCCCGCAGGCATTTCGCCCGTCCGTTCTGCTCCCGCGGGCATTTCGCCCGTCAGTTCTGCTCCCGCGGGCATTTCGCCCGTCAGTTCTCCTCCCGCGGGCATTTCGCCCGTCAGATGTGCTCCTGCGGGCATTTCGCCCGTCATTTCTTCTCCCGCGGGCATTTCTCCCGCCGGCATTTCGCCCGTCCGTTCTGCTCCCGCGGGCATTTCGCCCGTCAGTTCTGCTCCCGCGGGCATTTTGCCCGTCAGTTCTGCTCCCGCGGGCATTTCGCCCGTCAGATCTACTCCCGCGGGCATTTCGCCCGTCAGTTCTGCTCCCGCGGCCATCTCGCCCGTCCGTTCCGCTCCCACGGGCGTTTCGCATCTTCCCCACACTTCTGCCCCCCCCTCCCCCCCTTTTCCTCCCCCTTCCCCCCTCGCCTCCTCCTCCCACGGGCCATTCAGCCCTCCTCCCCCTCCCCCCTTCCCCCTCTCTCTCCTCCTCTCCCTCCCCCCCCCCCCCCCCCCTCAGCAGCAGCAGCAGCCGAACCAGCAGCAACAGCGGCAGCAGCGGCAGCATCAGCCGCAGCAGCAGCAGCAGCAGCAGCTGCATCCTCCCTTCCCCCTCTCCCTCCTCCTCTCCCTCGCCCCCCCCCCTCCTTAGCAGCAGCAGCAGCAGCAGAGGAGGTGCGCAACGGCAGCAGCGGCAGCGGCAGAAGGAGTGCAGCGGCAGCAGCAGCAACAGCGGGAGGAGTGCAACGGCAGCAGGAGCATCAGCAGCAGCAGTAGCAGCAGCAACCCCCCCTTGGCCGCCGCGGGTCCACCCGCCGTCGCCTTACCCTTGACCGCTGCGGGTCCACCCGCCGTCGCCTTACCCTTGACCGCCGCGGGTCCAACCGCCGTCGCCTTACCCTTGACCGCCGCGGGTCCACCCGCCGTCGCCCATCATGGCTGCTACCCCCCCCTGCCCCTCCCCCCCCTCCTCGCTGGACCAGTGTTAACCCCTCGCCCCTCCCTCATGCACATTTCGACCCTCCCCTCCTTCCTCCCTGCTCACCTCCGCCTACTCACCCCCTCCCCTCCTCCCCAGCCGCAGCGTTTTCGGCAGCTTGAGCAGCAGCAGCCACAGTTTCTCCAGCCGCAATCGCCACTGTTTCTCCAGCCGCTGCAACCACAGCAGCAGCAATGCTTTCAGCAGCAGCAGCATCAACCACAGTTTCCCCAGCAGCAGCCGCAGTGGCAGCAGTGCTTCCAGCAGCACCAGCAGCCACAGTTTCTCCAGCCGCAGCAGCCACAGCTGCAGTAGTGCTTCTAGCAGCAGCAGTGCTTCCAGCAGCAGCAGTGCTTCCAGCAGCAGCAGCAACCACAGTTTCCCCAGCAGCAGCCGCAGCGGCAGCAGTGCTTCGAGCAGCAGCAGCGACCACAGTTTCCCCAGCAGCAGCCGAAGTGGCCGCTGCCACAGTTTCTCCAACCGCAGCAGCCACAGCAGCAACAGTCCTTCCAGCAGCAGCACCAGCCACAGTTTCTCCAGCAACAGCCGCAGCGACAGCAGTGCTTCCAGCAGCAGCACCTGCCACTGTATCCCCCTTCTCTCCATGAGACGTCTCTCAAGTACTCTGCGTCACCTCCCTCTCCTTCCTCCCGCACCCTGGACTTCGTCCTTGACAGTGGAGCCACCGAAACTGCACTCAAAGACGCTGGCACCCTCACCCCCCTTCCACTTCCCACCCAGGTTCATGGTGCTGACTGCAATTTTTCCATCCCCTGCACTCACCTCTCCACCCTTCCTTGCACCGCTTTCCCGTCTGGTACAGTCACAGGTCTCCACATCCCCACCCTTCGCAATAACCTCCTCTCCCACCGTGAGCTCCAAGGCGTTGGTATTACCGCCATTTACCCTGGATTTGCTTCCTATTGTGATCTCTACCACACCGCCTCTGGTCGCTTCCTCCTGTGCATTCCCCTTTGCCCTCGCTCTCGCCTTTACACGCTCCGCACACCTCGTCCCTCGTTCTGTCACGTCACCACCCGTGTCGGTACTTCCACCGGTCCCCTTCCCCCTCCCCCTCCCCCTCCCCCCCCCTGTATCCTCCTCCTCTACCCCACCCCCCTCCTCTACTACCCTCTCCCACGCTGCAGTGCTGTTGCATCACAGACTCGGCCATCCCAACTTCGCTGCACTTCGCTCTTCCGTTACCTCTCGCCTCCTTAACAGCCTTCCTCCCACATTACCTCCCCTCCCCTCCTCCCCTCCTCCTCCATGCCCATCCTGCATTCATGGCAAGCTCAAACAGTCCCCCCATCACAGTCATCCCACTTTCGCTGCCGCCCCCATTGCCCTTGTTCACATGGATCTCTGGGGCCCTTACCCCATCCGCTCCCGTCAGGGGCATCGGTACATGCTCGTCCTCGTCGACGACCACCGTCGATACTCCACCGTCTTCTTTCTTCACATGGTCATCAACTGGGTTGAGCAGTGTCGCACTCACTTCAAACTCCCCATCGGCCGCCTTCACTCTGACGGTGGGGGTGAGTTCATCAATCATTCCCTTTCCACTTACTGCAAAACATACAGCATTCAGCAGACCTCCACCCTCCCCCACTCCCCTCAGCAAAACGGCATCGCTGAGAGTCGCATTCGTGAGATCACCAAGATTGCTCGCTGCATTATTGCTCACGCCTCCAACCCTCCCTCCTTCTGGAGCTATGCTCTCCTGCATGCCGCCCTCCTCCTCAATCTCCGCTCCCACACTCAGCATCCCTCCTCCTCCCCCACATAACTCTGGTCACAGGCCAAGCCCGACGCTGCCGGCCTTCGTGTTTGGGGGTGCAAGGCGTTCATCCCCATTCCACCAGCCGATCGCTCCCGCGTTGCTGGCAAGCTCGCCCCTCATGCCCTGGAGTGCGTCTACCTCGGGCACAATCGCGATTCCCCAGGCTACATGTTCCTCCACCCTCCCACCAATCGCTTCATCCGCAACATTGACGTCCTCTTCGACGAGTCCATTCCCTACTACTCCACTCCTCCTCCTGACCCTCTCCCTCCTCCCACTCGCCCGCTCGCTTGGACCGACACCGTCCTCCCGCCTCTTATCCCTCCAGCGCCTCTCCTCCCGCCTGTTGACGCTTCTCTCCCGCCTTCCTCCTCTGCCGACGTCTACGAACCTGTCGCACCGGCCTCCCCGGCCCACTCAGCTGCATCCCCTCCCTCCTCTCCCTCCTCTCATTCTCCCCCTTTTCCGCAGCAGCTGCAGCAGCAGCCGGATCAACAGCAGGGGCAGCAGCATCCGCAGCGGCCAGGGCAGCAGCAGCAGCAGCAGGGGCAGCAGCAACAGGGGCAGCAGCATCAGCAGCAGCCGGGTCAGCATCAGCAGCAGCCGGGTCAGCAGCAGCAGCAGCAGGTACAGCAGCAGCAGCAGCAGGTACAGCAGCAGCAGCAGCAGCAGCAGCAGCAGCAGGTACAGCAGCAGCAGCAGCAGCCGCGGCAGCAGCATCAGCAGCGGCCGGGGCAGCAGCAGCAGCAGCCGGCGCAGCTGCAGCAGCCGCAGCCGGGACAGCAGCAGCAGCAGGGGCAGCAATTACAACAGCACCAGCAGCAGCAGCAGCGACGCGCAACTTCCCGCTCCTCCCCTTTCCTCCCTCGCATGCATACCCGCTCCGTGGAAAAAATCCTTGGTGCCCCTCCTCCCGCCTCCATTCAGCTCCTCGAGGACTCCGATGAGGAGTTCCTCAACATTCGGCAACACACCTTTCCTTGCCTCACTCTACCTTGACTTCCTAAGCTTTCCCGTCCTTGGCGCCACCTCCACCCCCACCATTTTCACCCCCACCACCTTCCAAGAGGCCATCTCCTGCCCTAACGCGAACAAATGGATAGCGACAATATTTCTGGAGTGTGAGTCATTCATTCGCAACGACTCCTTTGTCGATGTCCCTCTCCCAGCCGATGCCAACCTCGTCGAGGGCAAATGGGTCTTTCGGGTGAAGCAGCTGCCGGGTGAGGAGCTGGTCTACAAGGCATGCTACTGCGCCAAGGGTTTCACGCAGACTTCGGGCGATGATTTCTGGTTCACCTACGCCCCCACCGCCAAGCCGCCCACCCTTCGCACCGCCCCCGACATTGGCGCGCGCGACAACATGGAAATCAGCTCCATGAACGTCTCCAACGCGTTCCTGCAGGGTGACCTGCACGAGCGCATTTTCCTTCGGCGGCCCCCTGGGTTCCACGCGGCCTTTCCTGAGAACACAGTATGGCAGCTGCGTCGCCCTGTCTACGGTTTGAAGTAGGCACCTCGGGAATGGCATGCGAAGCTGTCTGCCACCTTGGGGTCCCTTGGCTTCTCTGCTTCGCACTCTGACGCCCGCCTCTTCATTCGCTCCTCGCCTCGCCGCTTCTTCATTCTGATGTATGTGGACGACATGATCCAGCTTTCTGACTCCAAGGATGACATGGTGCAGATGAAGTTGTCCCTGCAGCAGCGTCTCAAATGCAAGGACCTGGGCGATCTCACGCACTATCTGGGCATGACCATCACGCGCAACCGCCCTGCTCGCACCATCACTCTCTCCCAATCCCACTACATCGGCCAGGTCTTGTAGAAGTTCGAGATGGCGCAGGCCAAGCTCGTGTCCACCCCCCTCCCCTTCGGCCACCAGCTCGCTCCACCCACTTCTCCCTCCTCCTCCCCTCACCCCTATGCTGAGCTCGTTGGGTCGCTGATGTACGCAATGATGTGCACCCGCCCTGACCTCGCCTACTCCCTCAGCGTGCTCGCCCGGTTCGTTGGCACCGGTCGTCACACTGAGGAACATTGGAAGCCTGCTAAGCGGGTCCTCCGTTACCTTCGTGGGACCAAGGACCAAGTCCTCACCCTTGGCGGCCCCTCCCCTCCTCTCCTCTCGGGCTTCAGTGATTCCTCATGGGCTGACTCGCAGCCGGACCGTCGCTCCTCCCAGGGCTACGGTTTCACCCTTGGCAGCGGCCTTATCAGCTGGAGCTCCACCCGCTCCTCTGCCATTTCTCTCTCCACCTGCGAGGCTGAGCTCTACGCTGGCACCATGGCCGCCCAAGAGTCACGCTGACTCTGCTTTCTTCTTGCAGAACTTGGCGCCCCACAGCCTTGCCCCACTCTCTAATGTGACAACGCCAGCACCATCCACCTCACTCAGGATCCCGTCTATCACGCCCGCTCCAAACACATCGAGCTCCGGTACTTCTTCATCCGCGAGCTCGTCCAGCAAGGTCTCATCGCTGTTCGGAAGATTGCGGCAGATGCTAACTTAGCCGACATCTTCACCAAGGCTCTCCTTCGCCCTGCGCACTCTGCTCTCCTCCGCCTCATCGGCCTTGCTCGCCCGGGCGCCCTTTGATTTAGGGGTTGTCCCCTTCTTCTCTTAGCATGCTAAGGGGTTGTGTTAGAATCTCTATGTATATCATGCTAAGTATAAAAAAATTGGAGCTACTCCCAACTTTGGGTATAGCTTGCTTTGTAGGTCTACACCCAATTTTGGGGTGTAGACTTGCAAGCTGGGGTGCCAATCCAAACCATTAGTGTTGGAGCCCCGAAATGCAAGTTGGGTGTCCCCTCCTTGCAACCCACAAGTTGGGTGCCCCTTCCTTGCAACCAACAAAGTCCTTGTTGCAAGTTGGGTGCCCCCTCCTTGCAAGTTGGCATAGGGACTTGCCAACCACCCAACTCCCCCTCTTTTCTCTTCCAAGCTCTTCTTGCATCCAATCTCCCCACTCCATGTATACCCTCTTGTGACCTAATCAATTCAATGGTTCACTTTACAACTTTCACATGGTATAGAGCTATTTTTTCCTAGGCCTTACCTCTCCCCCCCCTCCAGCTTTTTTTTTTTCCTTCCATGGGCCCACCCTTCCCCACTTAGTCGCCGTGGCCTAGACCACCGCCGCCGCCCCCAATTACGCCCGTCAGTTCTGCTCCCGCGGGCATTTCGCCCGTCAGTTCTGCTCCCGCGGGCATTTCGCCAGTCAGATCTGCTCCCGCAGGCATTTCGCCCGTCAGATTTGCTCCCGCGGGCATTTCGCCCGTCAGTTTTGCTCCTGTGGGCCTTGCCCGTAAGATCTGCGAGGGCAGAGGGGAATGCGCAGGAGGAAGCGACTAGAGGCGGTGTGGTAGAGATCACAGTAGGAAGCAAATCCAGGGTAAATGTCGGTAATACCGACGCCTTGGAGCTCACGGTGGGAGAGGAGGTTATTGCGAAGGGTGGGGATGTGGAGACCTGTAACTGTACCAGACGGGAAAGCGGTGCAAGGAAGGGTGGAGAGATGAGTGCAGGGGATGGAAATCCTGGAGTCGGCACCATGAACCTGGGTGGGAAGTGGAAGGGGGGTGAGGGTGCCAGCGTCTTTGAGTGCCGTTTCGGTGGCTCCACTGCCAAGAACGAAGTCCAGGGTGCGGGAGGAAGGAGAGGGAGGTGACGCAGAGTACTGGAGAGACGTCTCATGGAGAGAAGGGGGATACAGCGGCAGGTGCTGCTGCTGGAAGCACTGCTGTCGCTGTGGCTGTTGCTGGAGAAACTGTGGCTGTTGCTGCTGCTGGAAGGACTGTTGCTGCTGTGGCTGCTGCGGTTGGAGAAACTGTGGCCGCTGCTGCGGCTGGAGGCACTGCTGCCGCTGCGGCTGCTGCTGGGGAAACTGTGGTTGCTGCTGCTGTTGCTGAAAGCATTGCTGCCGCTGTGGTTGCTGCGGCTGGAGAAACAGTGGCGGCTGTGGCTGGAGAAACTGTGGCTGCTGTTGCTGAAGCTACCAAAAACGCTGCAGCAGGGGAGGAGGGGAGGGGGTGAGTAGGCGGAGGTGAGCAGGGAGGAAGGAGGGGAGGGCCGAAATGTGCATGAGGGAGGGGCGAGGGGTAACACTGGTCCAGCGAGGAGGGGGGGGAGGGGCAGGGGGGGTAGCAGCCATGATGGGCGACGGCGGGTGGACCCGCGGTGGTCAAGGGTAAGGCGACGGCGGGTGGACCCGCGGCGGTCAAGGGTAAGGCGACGGCGGGTGGACCCGCAGCGGTCAAGGGTAAGGCGACGGCGGGTGGACCCGCGGCGGCCAAGGGGGGGTTGCTGCTGCTACTGCTGCTGCTGATGCTCCTGCTGCCGCTGCACTCCTCCCGCTGTTGCTGCTGCTGCCGCTGCACTCCTTCTGTCGCTGCTGCTGCTGCCATTGCGCACCTCCTCTGCTGCTGCTGCTGCTGGTTCGGCTGCTGCTGCTGCTGAGGAGGGGGGGGGAGAGGGAGAGGAGGAGGGAGAGGGGGAAGGGAGGATGCAGCAGCTGCTGCTGCTGCTGCTGCTGCGACTGATGCTGCGACTGATGCTGCCGCTGCTGCCGCTGCTGCTGCTGGTTCGGCTGCTACTGCTGCTGAGGGGGGGGGGGAGAGGGAGAGGAGGAGGGAGAGGGGGAAGGGGAGAGGGGTAGGAGGGCTGAATGGCCCATGGGAGGAGGAGGCGAGGGGGGAAGGTGCAGGAGGGCTGGATGGTCCGTAGGAGGAGGAAGCGAGGGGGAAGGGGGAGGAAAAGGGGGGGAGGGGGGGGGGAAGAAGCGTGGGGAACATGCGAAACGCCTGTAGGAGCGGAACGGACGGGCGAGATGGCCGCGGGAGCAGAACTGACGGGCGAAATGCCCGCGGGAGCAGATCTGACGGGCGAAATGCCCGCGGGAGCAGAACGGACGGGCGAAATGCCCGCGGGAGCAGATCTGACGGGCGAAATGCCCGCGGGAGCAGATCTGATGGGCGAAATGCCCGCGGGAGCAGATCTGACGGGCGAAATGCCCGCGGGAGCAGATCTGACAGGCGAAATGCCCGCGGGAGCAGAACTGACGGGCGAAATGCCCGCGGGAGCAGAACTGACAGGCGAAATGCCCACGGGAACAAATCTGACGGGCGAAATGCCCATGGGAGCAAAGCTGACGGGCGAAATGCCCTCGGGAGCCAAAATGACGGGCGAAATGCCCGCGGGAGCAGATCTGACAGGCGAAATGCCCGCGGGAGCAGATTTGACTGGCGTAATTGGGGGCGGCGGCGGTGTTCTAGGCCACGGTGACTAAGTGGGGAAGGGTGGGCCCGTGGAAGGAAAAAAAAAGCTGGAGGGGGGGGAGAGGTAAGGCCTAGGAAAAATTAGCTCTATACCATGTGAAAGTTGTTAAGTGAACGATTGAATTGATTAGGTCACAAGAAAGTATACATAGAGTGGAGAGATTGGATGGAAGAGGAGCTTGGAAGAAAAAGAGAGAGAGTTGGGTGGTTGGCAAGTCCCTATGCCAACTTGCAAGGAGGGGGCACCCAACTTGCAACAATGACTTTGTTGGTTGCAAGGAGGGGGTACCCAACTTGTGGGTTGGAAGGAGAGGGCACCCAACTTGCATTTGGGGGCTCCAACACTTATGGGTTGGATTGGCACCCCAGCTTGCAAGTCTACACCCCAAAATTGGGTGTAGACCTACAAAGCAAGCTACACCAAAAGTTGGGTGTAGCCCCAACCCCTTTATTCTTAGCATGTTATGCATAGAGATTCTAACAATCCAATCTCCCCAGTCTATGTATTTCCTCTTGTGACCTAATCAATTCAATGGTTCACTTTACAACTTTCACACATTATCCATCACCCATACCCCTGCGTCCATTCATCCGCCCTACATGCAGGTGGTGGGGTCAGCAGACTTCCTGGGCAACCCAGTGGGGCTGCTCTCCTCCCTCTCTGCCAGCCTCTGGGACCTGCTCGCCTCGCCCACCCACACGCTGCTCATGCGCCGGGTACCACCTCTCCTGCCCTTCGTCTGCCCCTCTCCTGCCCCTCTCCTGCCCCTCTCCTGCCCCTCTCCTGCCCCTCTCCTGCACTCCTCCCATCTTGCCCTTCTCTTGCCCTTTTCATGCCTTACTCGCTTAGATGCTGCGGGCTGCAAAAAAACACTCCACCATTGCTTCCCCTTCATTTGCTTGCGTTTATCTTCCATATGCCCATCATCATGCCTCTTTAACCATGCTCATTTCTGCCCATCACCCTGGCACTATACTCCCTTTTTGGCAGAAATGCAAGCCCATCACCCTGGCACTATACTCCCTATTTCCTCCTGAAGCTTCCTCTGCACTTCGTGTCCTTCTTTCATTGCCCTGCAGAGCCTGGCAGGGTTCGCCAAGGGGGTGTGGGCGGGATGGACGAGCCTGCTGCGCACCACCCTCTTTGCTCTCTCGCACTCTGCCTCCCGCATGTCCCATGCCGCTTCCAAGGTAACATCCCAGTTATCACAAGCCAACGGGTTGCACTGCTGCTCTCCCATCGCATGTCTGCTTGTCCTCTTTCTCTTCTTTGCTCGCTCCCTGGTTTTCCTGCCTGCCATCTCTGCACCATCTTTGCATTTTCCACCATCTTCCTCTCGTTTCCTTCCTGTCTCTGTGGCGTGGCATGGCATGGCATGGCATGGCATGGCAGGGGATGGCATCGTTGGCATGGGACGAGGAGACCGAAGAGGGCATGGAGCGGGCAGGGCAGGCATGGGCCCCACACGCCTCAGACGAAGCCTCCTTCTTCGCTTCACTCATCCAGGTGCCTGCCCCCTACTGCTTCTGCTGACTTCCTCCTCTCAATTCAACCATGCTGTGTGGTCTGATTGATGCACACGGAGGTCGCACATATCCATAGCTTCTCCTCCTTTTCACCTCTCTTACATTCCATTCCATGTGCATCCCTCCCGCTATCCCACTCGTAGGGTGTGACGGGCCTGTTGGACCGTCCAATCAGGGGGTGGGAGAGGGGCGGTCTCCCCGGGCTTGCATCCGGTGAGATCTGGTTGCTGGAACCACTCTTTGCCTTGCATTGCACCGCACAGTAGTCCATAGCACCACACTGCACCCCAATCATCACACTGTACTACCACTTTGCATGCATGCATTGTGTTTGTCTTTGCAACTGGAGTTAGGAAAAGTGTTGCACTTCCCTGCTTTTTCCCTTTCCAATCACTACTTCCTCTCTCCTCTCTCTCCCCCTCCGCCCTTCTCTCCCCTCTTCCCCTACCTTCTCCCCCAGAGCTGACGCAGGGAGTGCTGGGGGTGGTGGCACGACCAGCAGCATCAGCACTGGCGCTGGCAGCAGCGGCAGCAGAGAGAATTCGCAACGTGGCCCGCCCCCCCGGCCCCTCCAGGCGCTGCGTTAAGATCCTATACGACATGCCTTTTCTCTTCCCTTCCCAGTGCAAATTCCACCCCTTCCTTGCTCCCCTTCTCCCCCCTCGCCCTTCTCTTTCCTCTCTCCTCCCTGCCTCTCCCAGGGCTGACGCAGGGAGTTCTTGGAGTGGTGACGCGACCAGCAGCATCAGCACTGGCGCTGGCAGCAGCGACAGCAGAGAGCATTCGCAACGTGGCCCGCCCCCCCGGCCCCTCCCAGGCTCTGCACCCTCTGCGCCTGCCGCGGCAGCTGAGCCCAGGCCGCCCCCTCGCCCCCTACTGCCACTCCCAAGCCGCTGCTCAGGCTGCCCTTGCCGAGGCCGCAGGGGGGGCGTGGCGAGATGAGGTGAGGGCGAGTGGGTTCATGCTTGGGCTGAGTGGTGGGGAGGATGGGAAGGATTGAGGGAGGGAGGGCTGGGTGGGAGGGAAGGCAGGGACAGGGTGAGGAGAGGGATGATTCACAGGCCATGATCTCGCATGCTGGTTTGTTTCGTAGCCAGCCGACCATGAGACCAGCTGGTCACCAGCGCGTCCCATGCCGACCGTCAGAACGTCGGATGTATTTTCTAGGCACCCCAAAAGTTGATGTGCGATCCATTTCTGCCTTTTCTATCCCCTTCCTCGCATGCATACAGGACGCCCTGGCTTGCTTCCAAGTGGTCCCTGTACCACCAACACCAGCGTCAGCATCCACACTGCCTGGCTCGTCAGTGGCACCAGAGGAGGCATTCGTTATAGTCACGCCGTCACACATGCTGCACGTATGGAGGGTGGCAGCAGCAGGGCGGCACAGCAGGAGCCAGAGAGCCAGCCAATGGCAGGTGGCATGGGCTGTGCCTCTGAGGGACGTGATTGGCTGCTGCAGCATGCAGCCCCTCGACTCACATGTGCTGCATGGGAGTGAGGACACAGCATATGCGAATGAGCTTACAGCACTTGGGAGTGCAACAGAGGCAGCAGGTGCAGCAGAAGCAGAGGGCAAGGCAGTAGGCCATGCCGCATCACCACATCGTGCTGCCTCCATCGCTCCTGCCACTGATGCTCCCCTCCCACCTTCTCCTGCTGCAGTTCAAGCTCAACCCCTGTTGTCGCCCACCCCACTGCTGCCTGCCACTGTGGAAGGAGGGCCAAGTGAGGGTCACTCTGCAAGTGTGGACGCCACTGAAGCCTCCACAGTTGTTGGTGAGTGACGCCCCATCAGTCCTTTCACGGGGCAATCCACACGCCTGTTTCCATCTCGCATCATCTGCTTGCACGTGTGTAAATCCAACTCCCAACCACCTGGTATGATGGTCTGCAATTCACTATTCCTTATCAATGGACTATTGCCCCTTCGTCCAGTTGTCTGCTTCCCTCTCCTGTGTTCATGGTGGCATTCAGTCATGGAGCTTCCAGCCGAAGGCACAGGGTTGGCTTCACTGCATGGACGGACCCTCCAGCTCTCGACAGCTCAGGAGGCTCAAGAATTTATCCAGCTCATGAAGGCCACTGCCAATGCTCAAGGTCAGAACAGGGGTTGAAGAAATTTCAATTTCCAGCGTGGCAATTTTTATAATACTCATACCGGGAATTCCCTGTTTAGGAAGCACAGTTTTTGGAACAAGTTGTGATTTGATTGCATGTGCACTAAGGGATATGCACATGCATTTATAAGATCAAGAAATAAGGCTTCTTTTGATTGCAACAAGCGTCTGCAAAACAGTCATCAAGCCACTAACAGAACACCCCATACTGGGCTTCGAACTGCCGTTGACGAAAGCAGACTCGTAAAATCAGAGGCAGAATCTCCAGTTCCCCGAATCTTGGTGCCAGCGCGAAGGCGCGTCCAATCGTAAGCGTCCAGCGTGGCCGCACTTTCACACCAACCAGGCAAAAGGGTGTGCCCCACGTCAGGCTGCGGAGTCTCCGGAAGTTTTGACACGTCAGACAGCTCAGCTTGCCTAGAAACAACTCCCAAGCTATCTCTGCTCGGCTCCCCTTCCCTCCCTCCCCCCACCCTTCCCCTTCTCACGAAAAGCAGTGCAACAGTAGCATTGCTCAAGAGTCAAAACAGAGCATCCTGCAGCACAAGCGCAACAGTAGCGTTTCTTGGGATTGCACCACTCCAGACGACCTCGAGGCTGAGCTCGGCCTTCCACCAAACGCATCCGCCACATATCTCCTGCCTTCCACCCTCCAAGCCACGACCGATTCCATTTTCACCTTCCTCCACCACCTCCGCCTTGCAAGGTCAGCCCTTGCCATCGCCAGCGCACCTATCTGCACCGATCTAGACCGAGAATCTGCTGACTGTCTCCATACGCCATGGCTCGAGGAAAGGCGGCTCAGCTCATCATGTCCCGAGGCCATCTGCTCTTCCCGCAGGTACGCTTCCTCAAAACTTCTGTTGTTAGAATCTCAGATATTGTATGAACGAAGGTAGAGGAAAACTAAGAAAATGGAAATTGAATGGAGGAAAAAGGAGGGCCAGGTCCTTTTTTGCGCGCGGTTCTTGCTGGCCGTTGAAGTGACGCGTAACTCCTTTCCCTCATCCCTCTGACATCAGGCGCGCCGTGCGGCCGCCGCGGCGTGCAGGGTGGACGCGCTGGTGCCCGCAGCAGCGGCCGGCGCAGCGGTGCCGCGCGACAGCGGGCGGCTGTTCAGCTCGTCGAGCTCCGCGCCGCCGGCGGACGGCGACGCGCCGAAGCAGGAGCTCACGCCGGTGCAGGCGGAGTGGGCGAAGCGTGCGTCCAAGGAGATCAAGGGCGGGGATGCGTTCGAGGATCTCAAGACGCTCTCGCCCGAGGTCCGTCCGCGCGCCTGCAGTCGTCGCATTCCTTTCTAACTGCATCGCAATGCCTGCTTCTCTCTCTTTTTCATTCTCTTTTCTTTTCTTATTTTTACTAATCGCGTTTGCTCGATATCACCTCCTCAATCGGATCGTTCTGGCGTGTGAAACCTTCCTCATTGTTTCGCCGCCTTACTCGTGGTTACCACTTGTCGTATCACCTATTCGCTCAGGGCATCTGGATCAAGCCGGTCTATTCCTACTCTGACGTGCCTGAGGAATCGAAGACGGAGATGCCGGGCGTCTTCCCCTTCTCGCGCGGCCCCTACGCCACCATGTACACGCAGCGCCCCTGGACCATTCGCCAATACGCCGGCTTCAGGTAACCACTCTTCGCCCTTTTCGCCTGACCATTCTTCGCCACTAGCGCGATGCTCGCCTGCGGCAGGCGCTGCCGTCAATATTATGTACCACGCGCTCCCAAGACGCGCTTTCGTCACGCGCTCTTGCTCTCGCCCATCCATTTGTCGCCTGATCGATTAACTCCCGCCTTACCACTCACGCCACGCCCACGCGTCCCTCGTCTCCAACCGCATTCCTCGTTTCCGCCTTTCCCCCTCCCCATTCCCCCTCCCCGCCCGTTTCCCCTCCGCGCTCCCCCTCCCCCCGCGTTCCCCCAGCACGGCGGAGGAGTCGAACGCGTTCTACCGGCGGAATCTGGAGGCGGGGCAGAAGGGGCTGTCCGTGGCCTTCGACCTCGCCACGCACCGCGGGTGAGCGCACGGGGCCAGCGTGGCGTGAGGGGCCACAGAAGAGGGGAAGGAGAATAGCTGCGTGAGGGGGAAAGAAGAGGGATAGGAAGGGGTTGCAGTAGATCTGGAACGTTGGCTCTTTTGGCCCTGGCTGCCTCGTGCTTCCATACCAACCCGTGCCCCCATTTGCTGGTCACACCCTTCCATTGTGTGCTCACGGCCCCCAAGAATTGACTCCATCCGAAGCGCCAAAACCCACATCCCGCCTCACTCTTCCTCTCCCTCCTCTCTCCTCCCTCCTCCCTCCCGTCCCCACCTCCCCTTTCCCCCCGCTCCCCCATCCCCCCCCAACAGGTACGATTCGGACCACCCGCGCGTGGTGGGGGATGTGGGCATGGCGGGGGTGGCGGTGGACAGTGTGGAGGACATGAAGGTGCTCTTCGGGGGCATCCCGCTCGACAAGATGTCCGTCTCCATGACCATGAACGGCGCCGTGCTGCCCGTCATGGCCTTCTTCATTGTCGCCGCGCAGGAGCAAGGTGAGTGACTGAGGGGGGTGGGGGGGATGGGGGCTGTGCGCAGGGCAATGCGTGCGTGCAGCGTGGGAACGAGCGCAGGGGGCCTCTTCGGCGGCATCCCTCTCGACAAGATGTCGGTCCGTCTCCATGACCATGAACGGCGCCGTGCTGCCCGTCATGGCCTTCTTCATTGTCGCCGCGCAGGAGCAAGGTCAGTCTGGAGGGGGGAGGGAGGGGAGGGGTTGGGACGGAGGAATCAGCGCAATGGAGGGAGGGGGGTGGGAGGGAACGGTGTTTGATGGAGAAACAGCTCAGTTGGGGAATGGGGGACAATCGGCGAAGTGAAATGGCGGTGGGGGAGCGGTGGGAGGGAGAGGCGCGTTGGGCGAGAGGGACGCGGTGGGGAGAGCAGCGCAGGCAGGTGGTCGGGTGGGTGGGGGGAGAGTCGCGCGGTCGCTATACGGTCCTCGTCACCGCCTTCCATTCAGCTTTCCTTCGTCCGTATAACACCCGAAGACCGCCTCCTCACCCCCACGCTTCCCCCCTCGCTTTCGTCTCCCTATCCGCGAGCAGGCGTTGACCTGGCTAAAGTGTCAGGAACTATTCAGAACGGCATCCTAAAGGAGTACATGGTGCGCAACACCTACATCTACCCGACCGCTCACCCCATCCCACCCCATTCCCCTTCCCCCTCCCTCTCGAGCAGGCGTGGACCTAGCCAAGGTGTCAGGCACCATCCAGAACGACATCCTGAAGGAGTACATGGTGCGCAACACGTACATCTACCCGCCCGCGCCGTCTATGCGCGTGGTGGGCGACATCATGGCGTACACGTCCCGCCTCATGCCCAAGTTCAACTCCATCTCCATCTCCGGCTACCACATGCAGGAGGCGGGCGCTGACTGGTGAGTCTTCTTGAGTTTCTTGAGGCGCAATCCTCACTGGTAGGGCCGGGGTTGAGTGGTTGTTGATGAGTCGCCCCAGGTATTCACAGCTCGCCCCGCCTCATGCCCAAGTGCAACTCCATCTCCATCTCCAGCTACCACATGCAGGAGGCGGGCGTTGACTGGTGAGCCCAGGGCCGGGGGTGACTGGTAAGGCGGGGGTCGGGGCTGACTGGTACAGCCGGGGCTGACAGGTAAGGCCCCTTGGAGCCCTGTTTTTTTCCGCCCCCACGCACGTGTGATGCGTGTGCTGTGTGCTGTGTGCTGTGTGCTGTGTGCCCACCTTCACCTGCCCCTCCCCTCACCACCCCATCCCAACAGCGCGGTGGAGATGGCGTTCACGATCGCGGACAGGTTGGAGTACATTCGGTGCGGCATGGAGGCGGCCGTGATGCGAGCAATGTGTGCTGTTCGCTGTGCCGACGTCCCCCTCACCCCTTCTTCCCCATGTCCCAACAGCGCGGTGGAGATGGCGTTCACGATTGCGGACGGGTTGGAGTACATTCGGTGTGGCATGGAGGCGGCCGTGATGCGTGCAATGTGTGCTGTTCGCTGTGCCCACGTCCCCCTCACCCCTTCTTCCCCATGTCCCAACAGCGCGGTGGAGATGGCATTCACGATCGCTGACGGGTTGGAGTACATTCGGTGCGGCATGGAGTCCGGTGTGGGCGTGGACGACCTGGCTCCCCGCTTCTCCTTCTTCTGGGCCATCGGCATGAACTTCTACATGGAGGTATATTACTGTGCATCCACGAGGCTTGGATGTGGAACGTATGTGGTTGCTTGTGGGCGAACTTGGGCACAGAAGTACGCATCTATATGGAACCGCAACATGGAGGTAGAGACATCTATATGAAACTACGGAGTTGCGCAGGCAGGCAACCGTGCCGTGCGCATGAGCTCCAATCTGCTGCCCCCGCCTTTCAACTGCGTGGACACGCGCGTAACCGCCCTGTGCCTCTGCCTGCACTCTGTCCCTAGACTAGCACATCTTCACCTGTGCACTCTGCTCTTCGCACCTGTGTGTCTCCAACATGTGTCGCTCCTCCCTTCTCCCGTGCGCCCATCTGCAGATCGCCAAGATGCGGGCAGCACGGCGCGTGTGGGCCAAGCTGGTCAAGGTCAGTCGATCGACGCTCCACTCCACTCCACCTCAACCCTCCACTTCACTCTCCGCTTCGCCTCTCCCCCCTGCCTTTTACCGACTGTCGCTGCAACCCATCCATGCTCATTGTTAATTCTCTCCCATTGCCTGTTGTTCACCTCGCCTTCCCACTTGCTCCCACCTCTCGGTCCCACCTCCCGCCCCAACCTCTCTCGCCCCACCTTTTCATACCTCTCCCGGCTGTCCAGGAGAAGTTCAAGCCCTCTGACCCCTCTGCCCTGCGTGCCCCTCTGGTCCCCTCTGGTCCCCCGTGCATCCTTACAGGAGAAGTTCAACCCCAAGAACTCCAAGTCGCTCGTCCTCAGGACGCACAGCCAGGTGAGGTCGGCGTGCGGGTAGGTGGGTAGCGCAGAGGCAGGTGGGTGTGGCAGGGACAGGTGGGTGCGCCTCTGGTCCCCCGTGCATCCTTACAGGAGAAGTTCAACCCGAAGAACTCCAAGTCGCTCGTCCTCCGGACGCACAGCCAGGAGGGTGTGTGGTGTAGGAAATTCAGTGTGGCAGGGGCAGGTGGGTGTGTGGTGTAGGAAATTCAGTGTGGCAGGGGCAGGTGGGTGTGTGGTGTAGGAAATTCAGTGTGGCAGGGGCAGGTGGGTGTGTGGTGTAGGAAATTCAGTGTGGCAGGGGCAGGTGGGTGTGTGGTGTAGGAAATTCAGTGTGGCAGGGGCAGGTGGGTGTGTGGTGTAGGAAATTCAGTGTGGCAGGGGCAGGTGGGTGTGTGGTGTAGGAAATTCAGTGTGGCAGGGGCAGGTGGGTGTGTGGTGTAGGAAATTCAGTGTGGCAGGGGCAGGTGGGTGTGTGGTGTAGGAAATTCAGTGTGGCAGGGACAGGTGGGTGTGTGGTGTAGGAAATTCAGTGTGGCAGGGGCAGGTGGGTATAGCGCAGCACAGGCAGGTGAATTCCAGGTCATTCTCACTCCCTGCACAATTTCAATCACAATCACAACCCCATGTGGGTTACCACGCTCCTCGCGCACAATTCATCCTTTTGATCTCTCCTCTTGCAAAGCACACCCCAAGCTCTCAACACTGCCCGCTCACCTTCCCTCCCTCAACATCACTGAGACGCCTCAACAATATCCTCGCACCCCCTTCCCCCCACACTCCGCCCCACTCGTACCTCCTTTCCCACCCCTCTCTTCCCGCATCCAGACGTCCGGCTACTCCCTAACCGAGCAGGACCCATACAACAACGTCATCCGCACCACAGTCGAGGCCATGGCAGCGGTCCTAGGCGGCACCCAGTCCCTCCACACCAACGCCTTCGATGAGGCCCTCGCTCTGCCCTCCGAGATGAGCGCACGCATCGCCCGCAACACACAGCTGATTCTCCAGGAAGAGACCGGGATCACCAATGTGGCGGACCCCTGGGGCGGGTCGTATATGATGGAGGCGCTGACTGCGGATCTGGAGAGGCAGGCGCTGGCGATCATTGAGGAGGTGGAGGCGGCTGGAGGCATGACCAAGGCCATCATGTCTGGCATGCCCAAACGCAAGATTGAAGAGTGCTCTGCTCGCAAACAGGTGGGTGATGGGATGGTGGGTGGGGAGGGGGTTGGGGAGAGGAGTGAAGAGGTAGCACCTGAACCAGAGAGGTGGAGGCGGCAGGGGGCATGACCAAGGCCATCATGTCTAGCATGCCCAAACGCAAGATTGAGGAGTGCTCTGCTCGCAAACGGGTGCGTGTGTGTGAGGGTGGAGGAAGTAAGGCCGGCTGAGAAGGGAGGGAGGGAGGCAAGGGACGAAGGGCTTATGAGCGTATGGAAACCTGATCCTCACAGCTGGGTTCCTCGCTTCCTGCTTGCTCATCTCACCTTTTGTTCCGTCTGTTCCCACTCTCTCCTCCCCCATCAGGCGCGTGTGGACAGTGGGCTGGACGTGGTGGTGGGGGTGAACAAGTATCGCCTCAAGGAGGAGGAGGGCGTGGAGCTGAGGCACATTTACAGACGGCTATTTCCCTTCTCTCCCTTTCCTTTCCCCTCTGCTCTCCCATTTCTGCTTCCCATCAGGCGCGTGTGGACAGTGGGCTGGACGTGGTGGTGGGGGTGAACAAGTATCGCCTCAAGGAGGAGGAGGGCGTGGAGCTGAGGCACATTGACAACGCTGCCGTGCTCAAGAGCCAAGTCAAGCGCCTTGGGGAGCTCCGCGCCTCCCGGGACAACGAAAAGTAAGACACGCCCTCTACCTGCCTCTGCTTCTGTCTCCCCCCTCCCCGCTCACCCCTATCTCTCGCTCTGTCTCTTCCTTCTATGGAGGATCTATCCTTCACATTCTCACTCGCTCTTGCTCGCTCCGTTTGCAGACCCCCCCATCTCCCAGACACACACACTTATGGCCCCCTCGCTCTCGCCCTTTTTGTCTCCTTGCTACTCCCAATCCCCCCACGCACACTCTCACTCTCCCCCCCTACCAGGGTGAAGGCGGCACTGGCAGCGCTAACAGCAGCGGCGAAGAGCACGGAGCGGGGTGAGGGGTGCAACCTGCTGTCTCTTGCAGTGGAGGCGGCGCGAGTGCGGTGCACACTGGGAGAGATCAGTGACGCTCTCGAGGCTGAATGGGGCCGCCACGTTGCTGACTCCACCATTTCGACTGGCGCATACAGGTGTGTGTGCGTGCGTGCGTGCGTGCGTGCGCGCGCGCGCACCATATTGGTGCGGTCATCTCAGGGGTGTTTCTGTTCGTCTCAGCTGCTTCACAAGCGCCTACCGGTGCATGCCTCATCGCCTCTCCTTCACTCCACCCCCTCACCTCTCTCCCAACTGGTGCATGATGTGCTCCCCCTCAACCCTGTCTTACCCCGGAGCAGGGGCGAGTACGGGCGCGCAATAGGCGGGCAGGAGACAGACGAGCTAGCCGCAGTCAAAGCAGCTGTGGAGGCCTTTGAGTGCACCGGCCGGCGCCCGTGCGCGCTCATCGAGAAGATGGGGCAGGACGATTGTTGAGGCGTCACAGAAGCCATCTGACCTTGTCTTGTTATGCTCACTTTGTCTTCTTTCTGCTCCTCCTCCCCTCTGCCTACCCTGGTGCAGGGGCGAGTACGGGCGCGCCACAGGAGGCCAGGACACCGAGGAGCTATCAGCAGTCAAGGCAGCCGTGGAGGCCTTCGAGAAGAGCACCGGGCGGCGCCCGCGAGTCCTCATCGCCAAGATGGGGCAAGACGGGCACGACCGCGGCGCCAAGGTCGTGGCCACCGGCCTGGCAGACCTGGGATTCGATATTGACATCGGCCCGCTCTTCCAGACCCCAGCAGAGGTGGCACGGCATGCCATGGAAGCGGACGTGCATGTGGTTGGTGTGAGCTCGCAAGCTGCAGGGCACAAGACGCTGGTGCCTCAGCTGCTGGATGAGTTGAAGGCGCAGGGGATGGAGCGCGTGCTGGTGATTGCAGGGGGTGTGATTCCCCCGGATGATTATCAGTTCCTGTTTGACAAGGGCGTTGGGGCTATCTTTGGCCCGGGGACCCGCATTCCCAAGTGTGCGCTGGAGATCTTGGAGAAGATCAAGCCGGAGGCTTAGAGTGCTGCTGTGGGGTGAGGGGGGAAAGGTGGTGGGAGAATGTTGCATGTGAGGGCGTCGGGGCTATCTTTGGCCCGGGCACGCGTATTCCCAAGTGTGCGCTGGAGATTCTCGAGAAGATCAAGCCGGATGCTTAAGAGTGCTGCTGTAGCTGCGTGGATGGATGCAGGGGATGGAGGGTTGCTGCTGAGACCCTTCGAAGTCCAGGGATGAAGTGTGCATTTGAGATTCTGGATGCTTCGAGTGCTGCTGTAACTACATGAATTGATGCAGGGAGGGGGGGGTGAGTGGTGGTGGGCTTGTGATGGGGAGGTGGGAGATGGAGCATTGGGAAGACTGACAACGAGCAGGTATAGCGGGCAGGAATTTGGAGGGCGGTTATTTCTAGACTGAATTCTTTCACATGGACTTGCTAGTCTTGTATTTCTCATGCTGCTTGCTTTCATTACAAAATGATACAGAATATATCCCCTGTACCAATTAAAGCCCGGGGTCAGCATGGTAATTGTTCAAGTTATGTGGGGTTGAAACAGTCTGGCGGAAACCTGAAAATCGTGTATTTCGAAAATGTGTGTGGGGCGAAAGCAAATTCAGTAGGCGGGTAAAACAGAATTCGCCATGATACTATGCGTCAGCTGTTTCCGAGGATATGGGAGGGCCGAACTGTCAAACTGTTATAATGTTTATATTGTATAGGCTGTAGTGGGGTAGCCATAAGGGGTGCAACCCAATTAGGGTTAGTACTTGTACCAACTTTCTTTTCAATGCAATCATTCTCGTTCAGTATTTTGACATGGTTTCAGAGCAGGTCCTGTTCCAAGACCGTTTTTTTTTTTTAGGGCCCACCGAATAGTTCCCTGCCCGTAGCGCGTTACCCTGCTCGTAGCGCCCTACCCTGCCCGTCGCGCTGCCCCACCAGTCGCGCTGCCCTGCCCTGCCCGTCGCACCGCCCTGCTAACTGCCACGCCACCCTGCCCTGCCTGTCGCGCCGCCCTGCTAGCCGCGCGCCGCCCTGCTGGCTGCCGCGCCGCCCTGCTGGCTGCCGCGCCGCCCTGCTGGCTGCCGCGCCGCCCTGCCCTGCCTGTCGCGCCGCCCTGCTGGCCGCGCGCTACCCTGCCCTGCCCGCGCGCCGCCCTGCTGGCCGCGCGCCGCCCCTTTCCTGCCCGCGCGCCGCCCTACTCGCCGCGCGCCGCCGTTCCTGCCCGCGCGCCGCCCTGCCCTGCCCTACGCGCCGCCCTGTCTAGGCCGTGCGCCGCCCTGCCCTGCCCTTAGCGTTTTCCTAGTGCACGCGCGCCGCCCTGCTCGTCACGCGCGACCCTGCTCTGCCCGCTATGGCTACTCTCAGCGTTCTCACATTCGATCCCGAGGGCCATCCGATCGAGTTCGATACGTGGCTCGATGACTTACAGCTGTACCTACTGAGCGATTCTAGAGAGCGTTTCGTTGTTTGACCACACGTCCAGAGCCTCTTTCGCCCCTCCCGCCACAGCTGACAGTGCGACTCGCTCACAGTGGCTTACCCGTGACGCTGCTGCTCGCTTAGCCGTTCGCAATCACCTGCCGTTAGCCGAACGCGCTCACTTTGGCCAGCACAAGACTGCTAAAGCCCTGTACGACGCTGTAGTAGCTCGTTACTCTTCCCCTGCCACTGCTGCTCTCGGCTGCCTTATACTGCCCTACCTTTTTCCCGAGCTGTCAGCCTTTGCCACAGTCGAGGACCTCATCACCCACCTTCGCACTAGCGACACTCGCTACCGCGCTGCCCTCAAAGCCGAGTTCCTAGACAAGAACCCGCCCCCGATGTACATCACTCTCTACTTCATAGTCATCTGCCTCCCTGACTCTCTTCGCGCAGTCAGGGACCACTTTCTCGCACTTGACCCCACAGACCTCACTGACGACCTGCTCGAGAAGCACCTCCTTGCAGCTGAGACTAGCATAGTCGATGTAGGTGCTGCTCGTGGTACTCCTCGCACACCCTTTTTTGAGGGGTGTTCCCCCTCCCCCCTTGCCCCCTCCTACGCTTCTGCTGCTGCTGTTGACATCCTTGGTACTGGGGAGGTCGGGGCTGCTTCTGCTCCTAGTCGGAAGCGCCGCAGCGGCAAGGGCAAGGAAGGCAAGAGTGGTGGAGGTGGCAGCAGGGGTGGTGGTGGTGGAGGCGGTGGAGGTGGCGGAGGTGGCGGTGGGAGTGGTGGTAGGAGTGGGGGCTTCGGTGGCGGCGGTGGTGGCAGCGGTGGGAATGGTGGTGGCGGTGGTGGCGGCAGTGGGAGTGGTGGCGGCGGCAGTGGTGGCGGTCGGGGTGGAGCTGTTCAGAGGGGAGGTTCTGGCGGTGGCCAGAGGCAGCAGCAGCAGCGTCCGAGTGAGACCCCTACGCCCCAGGAGCTTCGTGAGTGGTTTGCTCAGCGTGGAGCGTCTGGGGGTAGTGTTCGCTGCTCGTATGTCATTCGCACAGGTGACCGCGCTGGTCAGACATGCGGGAAGTTTCACACACAGCACCGCTGCTTCTCCCGCCTTGGCGCGCAGAGTTTGGCGACGAGGCTGAGCGCCCTTGCTGGCTAGATCTGCTGATGTCTGGTGTTGATATCTTTGCTCTTGACTATGATGCTATCCTTGCTGCCATGTATGCCTTGACTGTTAGTCCTGAGGGTGACTGTTACCTGTGTGTGCCGCCCGATCCAGGTATAGAGGCTGCTGCTCTAGGTGCTAGTGAGTCTGCTCTCCCTGGTAGTGCGCCTACCGAGGCCTTGCACACCTCCACGCTTGACTCAAGTGCTTACCGCTGTTTCTTTCGCGACAGTACCACACTCACTCCACTCCCTGCACCTGTTCCAGTCAGACTGGCTGACCCCTCCGGGGGCCCAGTTCTTGCACGTTCCACCACTGTTCTCCCGTGTCCGGCGATTCCATCTGGCCCACTGTCAGGTCTTCACCTCCCCTCGTCTTCTACAAACTTGGTGAGTGCCGCTGCCCTCCAGGATGCGATGGTCACTACCACCACTACAAGGGGTCAGCGTGTGTCGATCTGCACGTGTACATGGACGGGCGTCACCTGGCCACGTTCACCCGTCGGCCTGGGTCGAGTCTGTACACACTGACTACTGAGCCTGCTCAGGTAGCTGCTTGTTCGTGTTGCCTCCTGTCGCACCAGACTCTCCTTTGGCACCACCGCCTTGGTCACCCCTCCCTGCCACGCCTTCGTGGCATGCACTCCCACCTCCTTGTTTCTGGTCTTCCCAGGTCTCTGCCTCCCCTCCCGCCCTCGCCTGCCCCGCCCTGCCTTCCTTGCGTCGAGGGGCGGCAGCGCGCCGCTCCTCACTCCCCTCTCCATTCCCCCCGGCGACTGCTCCCCTGCATACTCTCCACATGGACGTGTGGGGCCCAGCCCGCGTCAGTGGACAGGGCCGCGAGCGCTACTTTTTGCTGGTTGTTGACGACTACACGCGTTACACCACGGTCTTCCCCTTGCGCAGCAAGAGTGAGGTCCCTGATGTCTTGATCCCTTGGATCCGCGCAGTCCGTCTCCAGCTCCGCGAGCGGTTCCGCGATGACCTTCCTGTCTTGCGTCTGCACTCTGACAGAGGTGGTGAGTTCTCCTCCGACCTCTTGCGGGACTTTTGTCATGGGGAGGGCATCCTCCAATCGTTCACGCTTCCGGCCTCCCCGCAGCAAAATGGGGTTGCTGAGCGCCGCATTGGCTTAGTCATGGAGGTGGCTCGTACCTCCATGATCCATGCGCCTGCTCCCCATTTTCTGTGGCCGTTTGCGGTCCGGTACACTGCGCATCAGCTCAACCTCTGGCCCCGTGTCTCCTTGCCGGAGACCTCGCCCACACTGCGTTGGACGGGGGAGGTTGGCGATGCGTCGGTGATCCGGGTCTAGGGCTCTCGTGCCTTTGTTCGCGATACTTCCGCGGACAAGCTCTCCTCCCGCGCCATTCCCTGCGTCTTCCTTGGCTTTCCCCCTGACGCGCCTGGCTGGCAGTTTTACCACCCCACCTCGTGCCGTGTCCTGCCCTCTCAGGACGTCACGTTTGATGAGTTGGTTCCCTTTTACCGTATCTTCCCCTACCGCGCTGCCTCTCTCCCCCCCCCCCGCCGCTCTTCCTCGCTCCAGGTCCCCCTCCAGTAGACCCCCTCCCCCCTCAGGGTCCTGCTCCCTCAGGTGTGTCTCAGGTAGACCCACTCCCCCTGGCTGAGCCTGTCGAGGTCACTGTAGACTCTGGAGCTGCTGGGGGTGGTGCTGCTAGGGGTGCTGCGTCTGGGGGTGCTGAGCTTGCGGGTGTGGAGCCTGGGGGTGCTGAGCCTGTGAGTGCGGAGCCTGGGGGTGCTGAGCCGGAGGGTGCGGAGCCTGGGGGTGCTGAGACTGAGGGTGCGGAGCCTGGGGGTGCTGAGTCTGAGGGTGCGGAGTCTGGGGGTGCTGAGCCTAGGGGTACTGCGTCTGCTGGAGGTCCTGCGGGTGCCTCGCCACGTCAGTCTCGCCGGCGGGAGCCTCTCTCACCGCGGCAGCTGCACGAGTGGTTTGCTCGGCGCACACGCCTTAGGAGTGGCACTGTAGGAGCTGGAGGCCCTGCCGCTGGAGGCACTGGAGCTGGAGGTGCTGGAGCTACTAGTCCTGGAGGTGCTGGAGTTACTGCTAGAGCTGGAGGTACCAGAGGTGCTGGAGCTGCTGGCCCTGGAGGTGCTCGTACTAGAGGTACTGGAGCTGCCGGAGCTGGTGGTGTTGGAGGCGCTGGAGCTGGAGACCCTGGAGCTGGAGGCGATGGAGCTGGAGGCGCTGGAGCTGGAGGCGCTGGAGCTGGAGGCACTGGAGCTGGAGACCCTGGAGTTGGAGGCGTTGGAGCTGGAGATCCTGGAGCTGGAGGCGCTGGCGCTGGAGGCGCTGGAGCTTGAGGAGCTAGAGCTGGAGGCACTGGAGCTGGAGGCGCTGGAGCTGGAGGCGCTGGAGCTGGAGGCGCTGGAGCTGGAGGTGTTGGAGCTAGAGGCGCTGGCGCTGGAGGTGCT